AAAGAGAGACAGCTACTATAAAAATACACGTTGACGAATACCGTCGCACGTGTTTAACGAGCGACGATTTCAAAATCAAATTATTTTAGTACGATCGACCTGCGTAGTAGAAATGCCTCTATCTAGTGACTTAAATTCTAGTGTTACAATAAGGATATCACTAAGACTATGATTATAATACCCTTTGAGGTTTTGTAAATCTTATGGTATTTCCATTATGAAATGATATGACGGTCTAACTTAGGCTGACACTCATTTCTAACTTTCTTAATTATAAAAACAACGTATTAATCTCTCACAACAGTGTGATACTTGGGAGATTATGATTATTTAACTATGATATATTCATGTATCAATATTTTTTTTTCTAAACAAAAAATGTACATTGCGATGTGTTCATGCATGATTTTTTTTTTTCCTTTTTCTACATAAAGCTAGTTGTACAGGGCAACAAATGGTGACGTTGCCCAACCGCCACTAACGGTATTTGATATTTTCCATGGGAACAAGAGGCTCAAATCCATTCCCCCATTTTGTGGATCATAATATGCTGTGCGAAACAAAATAAAATTTCGAGAAATAATAATAATTGCATGTAATAGTAATATGTATGTAACACGCTGGGAAAAGAAAATTCGGAAAAGAGAAAAGCAAACTTCATATTTGGTGAGCAATTTCATTGTGAAATTCAGAAATTAGCATAAGAGGAATCACGGTTCCTTTCACTTTTACAGTTTACGTTTTTGTACATAATTTTAATTGGATCGTTACTTTCTTCTTTATAAGTAAAAGAGCGCTCACTTAAACATGGAGAGAAAAATAAGAATAAATTAAATGTGTAAAGAAACTATATTAATGTACTTGTATATAAGAGAGATTGGAATTAGAATTTAAGAAAAATGGTTATTTTTATTTTTTTGATGATTTAGGGAGAATTGTTTCCTTAAAAAACTTTTTCCGTTAATCAATTAGTTTTTCATTATCTATATATCGAGAAGTTGAAAAATAATTTCCCAAAAACAGTTTTTTCTAATAGATCGTCTTTTAGAGCCGGTGCTATTTCCAACCCCTAAATAACTAAATCCAGCCCATTTACAGTAAATAGACCAAGGTGCCCTCAATCTTTCAATTGCAAATTTTAGTGACGGCCCGAATCATTCTTTTTTTCTATTTAGGATCTGTACCATAATTAAGCATTTCACATGTTTTGCTTTTTAGTATATTTAAGAAAAAGTGCGTTCTTAGATATTCCCATAACGTTTTACATGCTTCATGTAATATCATATCACCAATAGTAAGGAAAAAAGAGATTCTTTCATATGATAAAAAATCGAAAAGTCTATTGTTGATTATTGATCTTATAACAACTTATCTATTCTTTGTCCATCTTATCTCAAAAGCTCACTTTTTGAGTGAAATTTTTATTTCTTAATTTCATTAGTCTATAGTATATATATCAAGTCTCTTTATTTACAATAATATCTAGGAATACACTAGAAACATTATTTATAATAAGGCATCTTGATATTTTTTTCATAAACAGTTTGTGGATTTAAATAATGATATTTCGCTGGCATTTAAAAAAAAATTTCCATTCAATGCAATTTTTTGATTTAATTAAATTTTATATTCTAAAGTTTCACGTTGGAGAATGTCCGGTAATTTTATTTTGGAAAATCTTTAAAGAGGGGGGTTTTTTTTTTCCTTCATGTGATCATCCCATTATATGTATATGTATATAAAATAAAATCGATAAGAATGGGTTTAATGGTGATATACACAACAAAAGTGAAAATATATAAACAAGTCGATGCGTTAAAAAATTGTCAATTTTAAATGTTACCTATATTCTGCCGGACAATTTATCCATAAATTTGCTCAACGACGCAGAAAAGACCTAAGTTTCTCGGAAATTTATATTTTCAATTAAACGAACTTTTATGGAAGTAATATCTAACAATAAAAACACGGTGCCTTTAATATACACAGGAAATCTACAATAAATGGAAAATTCTTAATTATGATAAATAGATCTCTCATAGAACTAAAAAAATAAGGCAAGGAAATAAATTACGGACCACCATTTTAAATCGCAATTGAGTGGTTGAAGATAATTTTGTCATTTTGATATAAAAATCGGGTGTGGATTATAGGGGTGGAAATAGCGGCCGCCTAAAACTAAAGTAGCATGCAAATTATTATGTATCTTTACGTGATCCACGTGTTCCTCGGCCGTTGACTGACCGCAAATTCCAACAACCAAGCGAGAGCACCCTCTGGCCTTTGCCCTCCTCCTCCGTCCGTGTCGCCCACACGTTCTTTCCGGCACTTTCTCGAGATTCTTTGGATTTTCCGGCCGCGCGAGAAAATTCTTCTCTCTTTCCAGGTGAAATTCTCTGTCCCCCGATTTCCTGAATTTGGTGTTTTCACTCTCTTGCAATTCCCCCCTTCAATTTCGACATATTGAACCGTCTGTTCGCGTTCATGGCACTTGATTGCTTTCAGAGCCGAAAGCAATCGTTTTTTTCCAGTTTCGTTTGGCCTCGGGAGCTGGGACTTTTTGCTTGAGCTCTATTCAGATTCCACACGGGGGTGTGTGATAGGAGAGATGGATGCTAGATGGTCGTGTGCTTGTTTTCTGAGCTTGTGGGAACGGGTTTCATGGCAAGTTCATAGGATTAAAAGCTGGCAAAAATTATATGTGTGTTGTGCAGAGAGAGAGAGAGAGAGAGAGAGAGAGAGAGAGAGAGGTTGATTTGTTGGGTATGAGAATGCTGTGGACTCATGGGGTTCCTTGGCTTTATCTTTATGTTCAAAGGGAAGCCATTTGGAGTCAGCAAAGCACTGCTTATGTTATTATCTTTGTATGCTGATGCTAATTCCCAACGTGAATGCAGTTTTAATTGGGCTGTTGTAATTTGTTCCTATGTCCTTAGTACGTGTAACTTGTGAAACTTGCTTGATTTCAGCTGACTATAACTGTGCTAAACGTCGCTTGATTGACTGAGGTGGCTGCAGTTTCGTGTCCTGAATGTGATCGATTGTATTTCTTGACGACACCCCAGTATTAATTTTCCTTTTGCAGGTGAGTTCGTTGGCGTGAGGAGGGATGGAACTTTTGTTTAAGGGTCTCCATGAGCGTGCGCCTGATTGCGCCTTTGATGAGAAGGCCATTCAGAGATGCCCGTTTTTGAGGAACATAAACAAACCGACATGCTTTTCCTTTTCATTTCTAGATCCCCCTCAACCTGTAAGCTGTTCGTCTTCCGTTTGGATATCGTGCACCAGTATCCTTGGTTTTCTCGATCTGACAATGGCGCCGTAGGGTGACAACTTTTCTTATGTTTGGCTACGCTCAGGTACAGGGTGCCAAAGGTCCAATTTTTGAAGATGGTCCGAATTTCGACATGGCTTTTAAGCTCTTCCATGGAAAGAATGGAGTTGTCCCGCTCAATGAGAATCCTCACTTTCCTGTTGCTGAACCTATTGCTGAGCCCACACCTGAATTCAATCCCTTAGCAGCAAAAGCAGCGACTATCAGTCTGTCTGCTTTTGGTCCCGGGGGCCGTTCAGCTTCGGTCCCTTTTCTGATAAATGGAGGAAACAGAAGAAGCGGGTTGATTCGTCCGACAAGAAAGGACCGTCTTCCGAGGTAGTATACCTTTCGTCGTTGAGCTTCTATTTCAAGTATCAGAAGTTTAACCTGATGATATGTTCAACATACTGGTAAAGAGTTGTCGAATTAAAAAGCTAGTTACAACTCTGTTAATAGACAACTTTTGAAAGATACCAATGGTCTGTATGTTAAAACTGTGGTCTTAATTTTGCTTCAGAGCTTACGGGCATTTCTCGATTGTTTTGAACCTCAGAAACATGTCAAAGTATTATGTTTCGTTGATGTTATTAAAGGCTTGCTCATGCTTCGAGTTTCTTATGCAGAAAGGAAATCCAACCAATCACGAGGCACATGGAAACGAATGGTTGCAGACGGGCAACTGCCCAATAGCTAAGTCATACAGAGCTGTCAGCGGTGTCCTTCCACTGGTTGCGAAGGCTCTTCAGCCACCGCCAGGCATAAAGCTCAAATGCCCACCGGCAGTAGTCGCCGCAAGAGCCGCCCTTGCCCGGACAGCCTTGGTTAAGACGTTGCGTCCCCAACCCCTCCCTTCGAAGATGCTAGTAATTGCACTCTTGGGCATGGCAGCCAACGTGCCTTTAGGTGCATGGAAGGAGCACACAGAGAAGTTTTCTCTATCATGGTTTGTGGCGGTTCATGCGGCTGTACCCTTCATTGCCATGTTGAGAAAATCGGTCGTGATGCCCAAATCGGCTATGGCGTTAACAATTGTGGCCTCCATATTGGGCCAAGTTATTGGCTCTAGAGCTGAACGGATCAGGATGAAAGCTTCTGCTCAAAGGGCGGTGACTTCAAGCGTAATAATTGATGGCATCGCTCACTGTGGTACAAGCCAGGCAGATGTTTCCAGCATCAACTGTAGTACACAAGGAATGATGAGAAACTCGGCTCCGGCAGAAGCTCGTGGGACAGGTTCAGCATCTAGTGTTTGTTGCTAATATTTTCTGTTCGTGATTAAGATCTGGGAAGATCAACTGAGAATCATTATCGACGCGGGTTTATCCGGGTACTCTATGGTAGACGATCACAGTTACTTACGTGATGTGTTGAAGTAGTAGATACAATCTTTTGCCTCCGTGCTAAGAGGCATTGTGGTCCTGTGATATTTCATTCAGAACCTCTCTTCTTGAAGAAAGTTCACTATTACGTATCTATGAAATTCTATATTTCTGTATCCTGCTACCTTTCGGTTGCTGCAATTTGTGATTGATTTATTTATTCTTCTAGAATCATTAATAACAGTACGTGCAATTCTACTGAGTCAAGCATTTTGGTATATTACTCAACAGATCGTTCACATGCTTGAGCTTGGCTTGATGATGGTAGCAATTTTTTTCATGCCAAGAAACTTCGTTCACAAATATAAAACTAAACCGAACAAATATCTGATGATAATACTGGAGGAAAGTATAGAGAAAAATACTCGAGCTAACACATTACGAAGGACACCACTACAGTTATCAAACAAATGTCTGTGAAAAACAGCACCTCCTCATCATTATAAACGCGAACCCCCTCCCACCGCTCCTTCATAGACTTTTTTTTTTGGTTGAACTCCTTCATAGACTTGAGAATTAGTAAAGGGTAGCATTTTTCATGAAATGAAACCGCGAGTCAGCTTATTCCAACCCTTACTCCAAAAATATTCCTCACACAGCACAGGGCATCCTCCTGCATCATATTCCCTCCACGAAACACTGGAACGCCTTACCATCGTTCAAACCCAAAAGAACAAGGATAAGAAAAGGTATAAAAAAGAGCTGGCTCCATTACATTACTCTCAAAACCCACCGACCCTTTCCCTGGAAACCATCCCATACCTCCCAGGTGTTGTGGCACTGCTTCCATAGGCAGGTGGAACCGCACTTAGCCCAGGACAGTCCCTTGCCCAGTGCCCAGTTTGATTGCACTTATAGCATGTATCACCAGAACCTCCAGGAGCTCTATTCATGTATGCCCCTCCCATCGTCTGAGAAGGGCCGCTCATGATGCTCGGGCAATTTGTTGAGCTATGGCCGCTTCTCCCGCAGCTAGTGCAGCTTGAATTCATATCGAGTGGGCCAGTCATGGAAAGTCTAGCACCATTGTACTGGTTTCCATGTTGAACTGCCGAAGTAGAGTTCGCCGGTGACCTATAAGCTCCCGTACCAGCATTGTTTCCCATGGAATAGTTCCCCGCAAAAGATGAAGATTGCTTACTCTCAGCATTCCCAGTTAAAATACTGTTCATCCCGGAGTTCGAAACTAAGTTTTCCAACTTGACATCAGAAGAACCAGACCCATCTGCTCTGTTCTTCTCCAATAAATCCAGAAGAAACCTGGCCTCTGACGAGAAATTTACCTTGTCTGCTTTGACAACAGTAGACTTCACGCGTTGTTCATCACTAAAGATCTCCTCCTTCACTTTTAACTTGAATAGGAATTTGGTGAAGAAAACCTTGCGGACGATTTCTCCGAACCTCTCATCTTCATGCTCAGTTCTCAGAGAGAACAACTCCTTTGCAGACACACCCATTATTTCCTCACCACATTCCTGAAATGCAGTCACCCATGCTTGCCCAGTGTGGTCCTGAATCTGGATCTGGAGAATGTACCTGTAGTCACATTCATCAACACAGCGGTCGCACCTATCGCACCGCCATTTCCCATCGCCGTTGTTTGTAACTTTCTTGTTGCATTGGCGATCTCCAATTACAATGGGACAGGCTGTGTAACAGAAATTATCCAACTTTATATATGCAATATTGGCAGAAACTGTAATCCAATCTGGCTTCTCAGAAGTCCCTAGCTTTTCATCTTTGATTTGCGATATAGTTTTTCTTGCATCTGTCCTGCCCATGCTTGTCATTTCTCTCGATATGGATACTGTAGGGGCAGTTTTACCATCCCGCTCAAACCACTCCTTGAGCCTGCGAGCCTCTTCGATGTCAGGCTCTATAAATAACTGGCTAGTAGAAATAGTACCCACTGCCTTCCCATTAAAATCGCTGACTCTACCAGATTTCACTGCCAGTACCGGATACTGTCCAGAGTCGCACAGAATTTGCAGCCTTTGACCTTCTGCATTACAACAGTTCCCCCACAAAGTCAATTCGACACTTCGGCCAGACTCATCTTTCAAATGAAGGGTTCTTTTCTGAGTTTCAGAACCATTTTTCCTCATTATGGATGCAACCGGATTTATAGAGTGAACAACACCAATTACGTCGACAATACTGTTGCTTTCCATGCCTTCAACATCACTAATGGGATGAAAATGAAACTGCTGCCTTGGAATTTGGTTATCATCCTCATTACATGGCTGTACGATAGAGGTGGTTTCCAGATATATCTCATGATCATTTCGGAGGTGATTGAAATTCTTCTGAGCAGGTTTCAAAGTACCCCTGGAAATTAAGTACACCTTGCCCGTTTCAATCTGGTTGTAAAACTGGTCAGCGACAGCATTAAAGCATGTCACACGGATTTCCCCACCATCCGAATCAAGAAGATCAAAAGAAAACACTTTTCCATCACCACGCGGATTGTTGTAATGCCTAAGCTCACCCTTTGCAGTCACTCTGGCCTTAACTGTCCACCTGTTCTGGTAAGGGTTGAGAGCAGCTATTGGAATTATCCTAGGGGGAGCTTCATTCTTTGCTATAGGTCCTCGATTCATGTACATTGGTGGCGGTTGCTGATATGATGGCTGAGGCTGGTGGGCATAGGTATTTACAGGTGTGCGTAGAAATTCATTGGTATTATTACGGAAACCCATGTTCTGATTAGTATAGGACCCACCAAACTGAGCTGACCTAGGAACACCAGGTTCTGTGTTTGAGTACGCAGGAGCAACGGGAGCAGCATTGCCATAAGAAGGAGCAGTGCTTGTTGCAGGATACCTTCCCTGATCAATATTACTCGTGTAAGATCCACCATACGTGTTCTGTAAAGAGGGTGTGGGCAAACTTGGTTTTGCCGCTTCACTTCCAGGAACTTTCGCCATTACAGGTTCTCCAATAAGATCATGCTTGTCAAGTACAACGTCCAAGTCAACAATAACGATAATCCTGCTTGCAAAAATCAGATTGAACATGAGGTCTAATTTAACAAAGAGGAAATACAGCTGAAGAACTGAGGTACACTGAAAGCAAATAAACTTTTGTCACTTGAATACAACAATAACAGCAGCAATGCGAATAAAGACAGTGACAACAAACACAACCACAACAATTAATTGCCCAATTTCCTTCCAACAAGGCTCTAAGGACACAAACTCTTTAGCTCCCCCCATTTTCCTTCACTTCTCAGCAACAGCTCAAAAATACACATGCAAAAAAATCTTTAAGGGGGTCAACTTGAGTTGCTACTACATCCAGACAGAGCACTCAATCACAATAACTCATAACATACCTTGTTTGTGTACTAAATATCTGATCCTCCAAATTTATCGTCAATGTCCAATTTTTCTAATCCATAATCAATAACTTGCACTGCCTTAGACCAATAGCTATAAAAACAAAGTAACCCGCAAACCAAAAAACACTCTGCAAATGCAGGAGAGAGTTCAATGGATGGCAGCCCAGTTGAAATTCCCCTAATCACATTCTTAGGTATTTGATGCCCAATAACACCAACCTCAGAACTGCAACTTTTAACCCAAAAAAGCCGTCGCTTCAACAATCAATGGCATATGTTATGCCCTTTTTGCACCTGCGACAACTGAAAACTCATTCTGCTTCCCTCCCCTAAATACCTGAAGACAAAATAGTCTATCCAAACAACAAAGTCGAACCAATTCCAACCAACAGAAACCCCCAAAAAAAATGGATAAAAAAAAAAAGGATTTACACAAACAAACAACAAAAGCGCGCGGCTTCATGGATGGGGGGGGGGGGGGAAGAAAGGAACGATCGCATCACGTACAGTCGATCCTTGACGGGGCTGCAGACGAAGTGATTCATCCTGATGATGGAGCCCTTCTGCAGCCGCCCCGAGTCAACCAGGTGGTTGTGCTGCGTCGCGAGCATGCCCTGCTGCATGTGGGTCCCGTCGGACAGCACCATCCGGAACCTCTGCCTCTCCCGCTCCACGCCGCCGCTCGGGTTCTGGTTCTGATTGCTCGGGGTCTTCACCATCTTCATGTCCACCACCTGCACCACCGGCTTCACCTCGCTCTCCCCGACGAGCTCGCGCTCGCAGATCTTCCATATCGCGCCATCCGTGAGCTTCGCAGCCACCGACGACATCACCGGACCGGCGAGGGGGGCCGTCGTCGCTAGGGTTACGGGAGTGAAGAGAGAGTGTTCGAGAGATCGGCGAGAGGAAATCGATCGATGGCTGGAGTGAGAGAGGGAGTGGGGAAATTTTCAAAACCCTAAAAGAGGAGGGATGGGAAGCGCCATTTCTGGGTTTTGGGAGGGAAACTGAAATGTGGCGGACTCCTTTTGGGGGAATTAATTCGCGCGGTCGCTATTTATATATATTTGATAGTGCGTGCGCGCGTGCGAGTGGCGTGCGGGGGTACCCTGGAATTCCAATTTTGCCCATTTGGAGGTTTGTGCTTGTGACTTCCCGTGGAATGCCATGACAATCTTTTTTGGATACGCGATTTTGGGAATTTCTTGCCGAGGTCCGGTGAACCCGGTGAATTATAGCCGTTAATCTCGTGCGAAGCTTATACAGGGCTCACATGATACTCACGAGATCAGTTACCATGAATGACGTATTCCTTTATTATTATAAAGAAAAATACCACCAAAAATCTCAAATTATGTCATTTGTGACGCGAAAAATCTCAAATTATGTCGCTTGTGACAAATTTACCCTAAACTTTTTTTTGTGATATGAAAAATCCCAAAATATGCCACTTGTGACATATTTACCTAACAATACTTTGACCCATGGGCATTTTCGTCTTTTTCCTTTTTCTATTTTTTCTTTTCTTTTCTTCTCTCTTCCCTCCGCCCGGCGGAGGGAAGCCGGTGAGGGCTGCCTTCGCCGGATCCGGCTAGGGCGACCCTCGCCGGCGTCGAGTGAGGATCGCCCTCGCCTGGGCGAGAGAAGACAGCCTCGCCCGACGCTGGCGAGGGCAGCCCTTGCTTGAGACGGGCAAAGTCGCCCTCGCTAGATCCGGCGAGGGCCGCTCTCGCCCGACGCCGGATTTGGCAAGGGCAACTTCGCCTGACTCAGGCGAGGGCTGCCCTCGCCGGCTTCCCTTCGCCATAGCCGACGGAGGGAAAAGAGAAGAAAAGAAAAAAAAAAAAGAGGAAAAAAACATAAAAAAAAAAGAAAAAGACAAAAATGTCCATGGGCCAAAGTATTGTGGGGTAAATGTGTCACAAGTGGCATAGTTTGGAATTTTTCGTGTCGCAAAAAAAAGTTCATGGTAAATTTGTTACAAGTGGCATAGCGTGTGGTTTTTTGTGGTATTTTCCCTTATTATAATTGACATTACCGCTTCAATCAAATCATTACCATCATCTCATTCAGAAAAAAACTTTTATTTTGCCGCTCCTATCATTATAATATTTCCCCCACCTGTTGCCGCCATCCTCGCTGCCACCGTCACAGCGCTGCCGCCGCCACCGCTACCGCCGCCATCATCATCGCGTGACCGCCGCTACTGGCTCCGTCAACGCATCGTCGGGGTCGCTGCTTCCCCAAAAAAAAATTATGTTGGGCCGAACCAGGCCCAACTGTGCTGCCCATAATGGGCCGACCCGGTGGACGTGCGGGCTTCGTTTATTGGGCCCGGATAAGGGGCGTCGTTGTATAAAGGGCGCATCGCGTCGTGTCCGTCATCGGTTTTCTCGGGCAAGAATAAATCCTGCTGTTTTCTCGCTCTATTTTCCGGGAAAATCTACAGAAGCCATGGCTTCCTCCACCCTCCTCCTCCACTCTCGAACCCTCCTCCCGCCGAGACAAAACCCTCACCCTATCGCCTCTCGCGAGCCCAAGCCCCAATCCATCCATCTCCTCCGTCTCAGCTCCCTCCCCAAGCCCCGCACGCTCTCCCTCTCCCCGACCACCTCCAGACCTAACCTCACCGCCAGGGCCGCCGCTTCCTCGCCGCCGGCGATCGCTCCCGCTCCGCCGCCGCACGCCAAGCTCGGCGAATCGATCCGCACCGTGAGCTCAGTGCTCGCCCTGGCGGTAGGCGTGTCGATTTCGATTGCGAGGCTGGTCCAGAAGCTCCCGGTCGATAAAGTCCTCGCCTTGCTGTCGAAATTGAGCCCCGGCCCTCAGGAGCTCGCCGCGGCCCGAGAGCTTGGAGGGAGCCTGTCTCGCGCGGCGGGGCCGCTGTTCTTCGCGGCGCTCCGCGACCGCCCCAGCGGGTACCTGAACACGCCGCTGACGGTGGTCGCCGCGGGCCTGGCGAAGTGGCTCGACATCTACAGCGGGGTTCTGATGGTTAGGGTTCTGCTCAGTTGGTTCCCGAACATCCCGTGGGAGCGGCAGCCGCTCTCGGCGATTAGGGACTTGTGCGACCCGTACTTGAATCTGTTCAGGAATATTATTCCGCCGATTTTCGATACTTTGGACGTGAGTCCGCTTTTGGCTTTCGCGGTGTTGGGGACTCTCGGTTCGATCCTGAATAACAGCAGGGGAATGTATTGAATAACTGGAGAAGATTGGTGTGGATAGTATGGTGGGAAATTGGGTTGGTGGATGGTCGTTATAGTGAGTGAAAACACATTTGCGTTTGTTGAATTTAGATTTCATCAGCTGCTTTGTATGATTGTAGACTGAGTATTAGTTGCTGTTGTACGCCACAGTGGTTATATTGGTTTTGCCAAGCTAATATAAATTTTGGAAATTTTGAAGTTCTAATGGTAAGCTGAGGTAATACCTATTCAAAAATTTTGGGTATGTGCTGTTGTCTGCAATAATTTCTGTTCTTCTTGGTTAGTCTGGACGGACTGCTTTATCTCGTACTTGAGCATTTCTATTTGCATATTGGTTGTGTAGCGAAAATGGTGAATTTGATTGGACTTTGGAATTGGGTTGAGCACTTTAACGGTGTGGAACACGGAGTGAGGTCAAAGTTTCTGATGCTGAGTGCCGGACGTTCTTTCGGTTTTATTGTCTAGATGACTTCTCAAAGTAGTGTATATCGGGACTTTCATGCAGAAACTGGTAGTCTAGACTTCTCTGTTGACTTTATGGTGAAGTACCAACTAGTTGAACTTCTTTAGTCACAGCTTTCACTGTATGCGGTACATATTCAATCCATGTGCGATCTTCGCAAGTCTAAGTCCAACCCTATGCCTTCACTGGCGAAATTTTTTTGGAAAAAACCCCTATTTATTTGCATGTGCATGCAGGGTCCAGTGAGTTAGGCCACTGCTGTATAAATGTTGATGTATGTAACTGCAGTTCCTTCATAGTTTCCAATGTCAAATGTTTTCTTGTCCAAGTATCTTTCTTTAAAACCTAATAAGTACTAGGGAAATAAAGCCTTGGAGAGTATTTCACCGGTGCTGGGCTTTTTGGAACCTGTTTGTAGATATCTCTCGATGTTGCTACTTTTGCCATCTGGTTGTTATCTTTGGCACATGGAAAAAAAAAGGAAATTCTCTTGCTGCTAGAGCATTTCCTGTTCTACAGTATGCACTAGACATGCATTTTTGGCTGGCAAATGATATATCTGTTGCATATGAAGTGTCTTCTGTGTGGCCTTTTTGTTCATCATCTTTACTTTGTCAGCTTTCACTATCACGTTAGATGACATAATAGGATCAGACCTTTGTAACCACTTTTGATGCTTTATAAAGTTGGAACAAAGGAATTTGTCTGCTTGCTGGCATTGAACCAAATGTTCAGAGTTTGTAAGGTTAATCTTGGGAAGTAATGCTTAGCTGCATCATATGATGGGAAGAAGAAAAAGCACTGCAGACAGCTTCAGCATCCAATGACGATTAATTTTGCAGAAGGAAGATTGTTTGGCTGGCAAACACTGTCATTTGCTTTCATTTTTCTTCTAGAGCTTTCATTCAGATTATCACTCTGTAATTGTACGTCTCCCTCTTTTACTGAAGATTTTTAATTGCTACTTTGGGGAATGTCTGGCTAGAATAAGCAACGACTTGAATCTGAGTAAGGGGTTTGGAGGGTTTTGATTAGGTTATGCACTGATGAATTGATAGGAACCAAGGGTGAAACTCCTTTTCGGGACCTTGGCTCATTTGATAGAGGCGACATTTCTCTGAACACTGGAAATTGTGCTGGTTTTAATAACTGGAAAGAAGAGTGAAGCGCCTCTCTTTTGAATCACCAAGCCAGATGGTCCAGCCGCGAAAGCACCCACCGTGTTTCCTATAGATCACAAGTTTAAGGTGCAGGAAGCCCATGAGTCAATCCTCACGTAAAAGAGCGCTCTTCATGTTGGCACGTCGCTGGAGCTATGGTGACGAGCTCGCCCTTCTAGATGTCTCAACTCTGGGGATCGAGACTTTGTGAATAGTAGTTATGGCTCAACCGAACATTTTGCAATGGGTCTGAAACTCTTGTCGTAATCCTCGAAGAGGGTTGCTACGATTAGTTGCCCTCTGACTTTCCAGCGAGAACAACTGTATATTTGCTTTGTACTTCTTGCTAGAAATGAGTAGAGGAAAAAAAACAAGCAAGCTATCCTATTCCTCATTTAGTTGCTGCTGTGCATGATTCTTACTTTTCCAACAAAATGTCGACCTCGAGGTTCATTTTGTGCATGACGCCATAAAATTGCAGGACATAAAGAGAAGAAAGGCAAAACCAAAAATGCAAGCGAAGGGGCAGCTATAAATTGTCTTCAAAACTAAGGTAGGACAAGTTTCATCATCCAACTCACTCGCCTTTCACAAAATTACGAAGACTTTGCAACATGAAAGCTTGATTCCTTTTCATCTGGACCAACAAAAAAAAATCGGTTCCCCGCGATTCAGAGTCTTTCAATTGACAAAAATGGCAAGTCATTCACTGTCAGATTCCTGCCGATTAAAGAGAGCATTAAGGAACATAGTATTAGCATTAACCCGAGCAACGTTTTAGTCATTGAACAGTCAATATAGGGCATCCCAACTGGTAACGGGGCTTGTTGAGAGTTCCCCGCGGGACTCTTGCTTATGCCCGATCGAGGTATAATTGATATGAGATGGACAAGCCTTACAAAGGCAGAAGGGAATATTCACATATTTCCAGAATCCGAATGGATCCTCTCAATAACTTCTAAGAGCCGCTCTTTTTCTTCTGTCAGGTCTTCATTCTGCTTTTGCAACTCTTCTATCTGCTTGGTCTGTTCAGAATCCTTTCTGAAGGAAGGATCAAGGAGAGAATCCCTTGTTAATAAATTGAAGAAACAAAAGACTGATTCACAAGACAACATTAGAATGGAGGAGCGGAGCATCAATTTATCAAGGTCTACCACCAAAAGAGCCCCTTAGGAATGATTGGTAATTTGACTTGACTCGAGCACACTATCCACTAGTTCTATCCTTGCTTAATTTATGCACATATAGGTGCCCCCTACATTTATTGCATTAAAGAAAATCGAGAAAAATATAATCAACCAAAACTCACCATAATTAGAATTCTTTTCTTTTTTTTTGGTCGGATCATAATTAGAAGTTCAATACAGTTCAACTTGGCAGGATTTCTTAATGTGTCTTTTAAGAAATGCATAAGAAGCTGAAAGCATGATGACTTCTGTAAGTAAACAGCAAAGGTTCTCATCTTTTACCTATTCATGAAAGACAAATTAAGTTTGAGGGATCTGACTTCCTTCTCAAGATTTTCGCACCGCTTCAAGATAGATTGGATATCTGCCGGAATTGCTGATGTCGAGTTCCTCTCCTTTGCCTCTGCCATTCTACGCAAAGCAAAACTTTAAGTTAAGACAGCCTCAGCACTTCTATATAGTGTGGATTCATCTGAACATCACTGGGCAGAATGGATCAATTACAATCTTATGCTCATGCTTTGGTGGTGCAACTAACTTTCACCTTGAGAGAGAGGACGTTAAGCAACGACAGGAAAGAGCAAAAGGTGTGTACAGGTGGACAAAACTCTTATTGTAGCTCCTTCCAGCAGACATAAGAAATTTGTCTATGTTTCTGAAAACATTTTCATCTAACATAGTCTAAGTGACTAAGGCTGCATGGCACTGTCTCCCTTCCAGGCCTCACTCCTCAGGAATATGAGGCTTAATTTGGTCAATGATCTCTCACTTTAATAGTATTCCTTATTTCCATAACATCTGCATGACAAAAGGCAAGATTATGCCCTTCACATCATTCTTAAATTGGATTTCCCAATAACTATTAAGGAAGATCAAGAAAACCTTTGAGGCCTTGGTGGTAGTGTAACCGTGACAGTACCTTCTCGTGAGTCTACACTTTATGCCACTGACTGCAATTCTATGAGAATGTTTACAGTCGTACCCAACTGATGCACTAGGAAGAGAGAGAGAGAGAGAGAGAGAGAGTCTAACTGCTACAACCTTTATGGTTGAATGCAATTTGCAAGTTTTACGCTTCTAACTGCTCTAGTTAGAAGTTGTCAGCTATCTTCTAGATGTTCAATCAAGGAAAAAAATCCATGTGAGAGAGAAGACTACCCTGCATTTCTGCTCAATGCTTGCACCTTCTTTAATATAATTAATGTTTTAAGACGACTATTGCAAACTAGAGGCCATTATTATGTCACTAGTTTCTTCTGATGTTCAATGGAACATAAAACCACAGTCAATTCTCTATCAAAAAAATATTGTGCTGATGCAGTATACTTACTTTCTTGATCGTTCCACTCTACGCTTTTTTGTTGGATCCCCTTTATCCCCTGCAGAAATGACGGCATCATTAAAAGGCTGCCATATTGATGAATTTGCACACCGAAAACGTTTAACTAATGTTTAAAAATGATAAGATAGATTTTGCAGGGTCTAGGATAGAAAAATAAGAGAGAAAGACAACCAAAACCCTATATACCCTATTTGACTACCACCTACTAACTACTGACCAATTCAACTTAATATATCTCAACAGCATGAAAGACATCAGGGAAATTAAGTTTTGATAGTTTGCTGTAAGTGAAAATGAGATATATTGCTGTTTCTTTAATAAAGCAAGCATCTACCTGAAATTATAAAAAGTACTTATTTAATATCTAGAATGTTACCTGAACCAGTAGATGAGACAGATCCATAACGCACCAGATTTCCCCTCTGTTAAACTCAGCCAGATGAGAGAGAGGAAAATATAAGTGTTAAATTTGTTAAATTCGAAATCAATGGATATACCTTTTGATCATCTTTCAAATTGTCGATTATCCGTTCTCTGAAATCTGCACCTGGTAAAGAAATTTGTTTACAAACATCTTAGCTTTGAGAAATGACATGTTGCCTTTGATAATCCAAAGACCAGACAAATAAGATAATACAATTTGCAGATCTTGATCAGAGAGAAAATAGAATATATCCAGAACATTTTTTCATTTCATGCTGCACCAATAAATCCAATGGACTTACTTTCTACAAAGATACATGTTAGTTTATGTTTCTGCGAGATACAAATATTTATTCATGTACGTAACTATTAGGTGTATAAGCTGACTAGAGTTGCCAGAAAGATTTGCTGTATATTTGGTAAGGAAGAGAAATCTAGACTGGACATGGAACATTCTAAAAACGGTGATAATGAAATTTCACTCCTTTCACCAGTATTGAGACAGCACTGATTACGACAATTGAGTAACCACCTTCCTGCTCCTTTTGAAAGAAGCTGGAATAATGAAATCTGCTCCTTGGATACGGAGAACGAGAAGAGCATTATTACGCTAACCATATTTGGACACTT